TAAAATATAGGGTACGTGGGGTAATTTCATCTTAGTAGGATAATAGGTCGGCACAACATCGTGGGCCGAAGGGCCTGTACTGTTCTATGTTCTCGTGTGGAAGCAGGCCATTCAGCCCATCACGTCTACACAGACCCTCCAAAGAACATCCCACCCAGATCCACACCCTACCTTAACCCTATAACCTGCATTCCCCATGGCTAATCCAGCTAACCTGCACATTTTTGGACAGTGGGAGGCAACTGCAGCACCTGAAGAAAACCCTCGCAAACATGGGGAGAACGTGCGAAGTCCACATAGACAGTCACCAAGGATGGAATCGAACCTAGGTCTCTGGCAGCAGCGTTAACTATTGAACCTCACTGGCTGTACCCTCCAAACCAGCAATATCCTAACAACCTTTCCTGTACTCTCTCCAAAGCCTTCACATCTTTCTTATATTGACATGCCCTACTCTAGACTCAGCATCCAACATATCCTTCTCCTTTGCGAATACCAAGTATTTGTTCAGGGCCTCACCCACTTCCTTTGGTTCCTCACGAATTCCATCCTTTGTCCTTCAGTGGACCTATCCATTCCCTAGCTATCCTCTTGCTCTCGATATACATATATTTGGGATTATTCTCAATCCTGTCTTGCCCAGGACACTTCATGGCCTTTTTTACCCCTCCTAAAGTTCTTTCCTGCTTTCTTTATATCCTTTGAGAACTGTCTTCAGTTTCTTAAACCTTACACATTGTTTTTCTTTTGACTGAGCTCTCAATTTCTCTCATCATCCAAGGTTCCCAAATCTTGCCATCCTTACCCTTCATTTTCACAGGAACATGCTAATCCGGAACACTAAATCAACTGGCCCTTAAAAGATTCTCACATGACAGATATGGATTTACCCTCAAACAGCAGCCCCCAAGCTCTATTCCCCAATTCCTGCCTAATATTGTCCAGTTAATCTTCCCCCAACTCAGTATTTTAACACATGGAGCACTCTTAGCCACAAGCAACTTAAAAAGCTTATGGAATTACAGTCACTGTTTCTGAAGTGCTCCCTCACAAATTTCAACCACCTGGTATTGGGGAATGAACCCAGCCAAGTCCAGTGTGGCTCTTCCCCTAGTTAGACTACTTACATATCACTTCAAGAAACCCTCCTGATCACACCAACTAAGGAAGTTCCAGTCAAGATTGGGAAAGTTAAGAATCACCCACCACAACCACCTTGTGTTTTTGCATTTTTCCGAAATCCATCCACAAAGGTGCTCGGAGGCCTGTAAGACAACCCAAAATGAATGCACCCTTCCTATTCCCGAGCTCTACCCATATGGACTCATTGGATGAGCACAAGGTGTCCACCCTCAGTACAGCTGTGACATTCTCCCTAATCAATCACATCATTCCCCCACACCTCAAACATCTAAATCCTGGGAAGTTAAGCTGTCAGTCTGGTCCCTCTTTCAACCTAGTCTCGATAATAGCTCCAACATCATTGTTATATATGCTAATCTAAACTCTAAACTCATCTGCTTTACCTGTCATACACGTTAAAACAAATGCTTTAGACTGCCAGTGTTCAGTATCCTTTCCATCTGTTCTTCCTTTTAGCTTGAGCACTAATGTCCTTTTGGTAAGGAAACTGCCATCTTTACCTGATCTGGGCTACTTGTAACTCTAGGCCCATAGCAATGTGACTGGCACTTAAAGGTAATTAAGGATGGCCAACAAATATCTGAAGTCCAAATATCATTCTTGTAAACCTAAGTGGCCTAAAAAAAACTCCCGATTACAAAAATTCACTCTAGCTTTTTGATGAAGTTGCAGATAGTGAGGAGGATTGTCAGACTAAACAACATGCTATAGATCAGTTGGTGGCATGGGCAGAAAGATGGCAGATAGAGTTTAATCCAGACAAATATGAGGTGATGCATTTTGGAAGGTCAAGTACAGGTGGAAATCATACAGTGAATGGCAGAACCCTTCGGAGTATTGATTAGCAGAGGGATCTGGGTGTGCAGATCCACAGATCACCGAGGATGGCAGCACAGGCAGATAAGGTAGATTTTTTTTTAAATGGTATGGTATGGTATGGCTGGCCGGCCTTCATTGGAAGGGGCATCGAGTAGAAGGATAGACCAAGTTATTCTGCTGCTTTACAGAACTTTAGTTAGGCCACACTTGGAATATTGCATACAGTTCTGGTCACCACACTACCAGAAGGATGTGGATGCTTTAGAGAGGGTACAGAAAAGGATGTTGCCTAGTATGGGGGATTTTTTAGCTACTAAGAAAGGTTGGAATGCAGGAGACTGAGGGGGAATCTGATAGAAGTTTAAAAGATTGTGAATAGCATGGTTAAAGAGGAAACTAAGAGGCTTTTTCCCCCAGGGTGGAGGGGTCAATTACTAGTTGACACAGGTTCCAGGGGCACTTGGAGGGTGGGGGATTGCACTAGTATACAGGAGATACGCGAGACACGTTTTTCCACGCAAAAAAAAAAACGTTGAGTGCCTGAAACACACTGCCTGAGGTGGTGGTGGAATCAGACGCAATAGCAGCATTCAAGGAACACCTGGAGGAACACATGAATAGGAAGGGAAGAGGAGATGCAGACCCTGTAAATGAAGATAGTTTTAGTATGAAGTGGCAAAATGTGTTGGCACCGGTTTGGGAAGGCTGAAAGGCCTATTTCTGAGCTGTATTGTTCTTTGTTCATTTTTAATAATTCCCTTAAAACTATTTTCTGATTGCTAAATATTCTGCTACTGGAAACATTTCCACAACGTTTTTCAATTGAAAAACATTCAAATTTTAATTGATTTTGAGTCTGCTCAGTTCTAATAAGAACAATCCCAGCTTCTCTAGTATCTCCATGCAACTGAAGTCTTGAACATCAAATACCATGCCAGCAATTGCATTAGTACCTTCTTCAAAGTTTTGGTATAATTTTTAGTGTTTTGTTCAAAATTGGATTCAATACTCCAGATGGCATCTAACCTGCCAGTTATGGAGGTTCAACGTGAACTCTCTGTTTTTGCTTAGAACATTAAGGATCTCAATATCAGAACAGGAGTAGGCCATTCAAACCCTCAAACCTATTTTGCCATTCAAGGAGATCATTGGTGATCTATGGCCTAACCCAAACACCTGTGTTTGGCCTATATCCCTTAATAGCTTGCTTAACAGAAAATCTCTCATTTAAAATTAATAATTGATTTAGCATCAACCACAATTTGTGGAAGTGAGCTCCAAACCTCTACACAGAAAGGGTGGTAGAAGTGCCTCCTAACATTTCTCCTGATGAGTCTAAAATTTAAGGCCAGACTATGCCCCTAATTCTACAGTCTCCAACCAGTTGAAGTAGGTATGCCTTCTGACACATTAACCCAAGAATTGGAAATCAGTTGACAAACTGGAACTATGGAATAATAAAAAAAAAAAATCAACAAACCTGGAGTTATAATCTCGACTGGAATCATAACTCCCTTTGACTGAAAACTGCACAGAAGGGCAAATGATGCAAATAAGCTTTCAGTAATATTGTAATGTAACTAATTACAATCCTCAATTTTTGTTTTTGCCCCATGATAAGTAACTAGACAGCCATCCAAGAATTAAGTATTTAGAGGAGAATATCTTTTCAACATCAGGGCAGAATTATGCCTGACATGGCAATAACTTTTATATTGTCTTCCGCTCTTTAGTATTTGACTCAAACCAGAGAAATCTACTGAAAAATTCATATCCCAAGAATGTACTTCCTAGCCAGGATACAGGTATATTTGTCAAAATGAAGAGGCTACACTAGTTCCACAAACCATGATTTAGAGTGGGCAAATGTGGAATAAGAAGAAAATTGAACTTCAACAAATCGAATGTTCAGGCTTATCAGCAACATAATAACCAGTCAAAAATGTAGAGAATCATCATCCACAAAGAAATTTGCCTGTCTTGCATTGAAAATACTGCTTCAGACAATCATTTCCAGATAGATTAATGGTGATGCACATTAGGACTACAAGCAGTAAGTTACTCAGCTGCCCAGAGGAAATGGGAGAAATGATATTTGTGGGTCAACCACATATTGCTTTCATTTGGGATTTGACAAGTTTAACGAGACAAAGCTATCTTTAAATCTTCCCCATTATGTTTTTTTAATAAATACTAGAAATACACAGGTCTGGCAGCATTGGGGGAGAGAGAGAGAGACAGAGAATGTGGAAATGAAATGAAGGAGAGTAGGAGATGGGGGGTGGGGGTGGTGTGTGCAGCAAGTATAAGCAGGGTGGGTAGGGAGAGCAGGACAGAATAGAGGTGAGGAGGTATGTTTCATCAAATGCAAAGTTGGTTTCCATTCTCCACCAACACTACTAGATCTGCTTTGTTGTTTCAGTCAGAATGATGGAAATAGCACTATATAGAGAAAAAAATCTAAACATTTTGATTAACAATATTCAAAGTATTAACAAGACTAATGTATATAAAAATACAAATTGCTCACCTTCCATTAAAAACTTTTTAAAGCATGTACTATGAATATTAGCACAGCTACACTCCAGTTAATAATTTTTAAAATTACATTCTCCTTGCTGATAATGGTTAAGTCAACCTAGTAAACATGATCTTGTTGTTTGAATAGATAACCTGTTATTCATTCATGTAATTAGCCTTTATGTATAAAATACATATCTTGTGTATTTTGTGAACCAAATAAGATTTGTTGTAAAACCAGATTTAAAATGAGAAAATATTGGAGGTACATATTAGGCACATCTGTAAAGAAAAAAAGATAGGTTAACCTATTTTGGGTGTACACCCTCTTTTCAATGTAGTTGTGCCATGTATTTCCACCATTTTTTTTCTGACCTCTGTTTTAGAATCCACAAAAAGAGAGAACTAAAAAAAAAACACCGAGTGAATTCAAACATTGACAACTCTCAAACGTCCACAAATTAATCCCAACATCCCACTGTGTGGAAGAACAGAGCTTTTAGTGACTGTATATTCACCTGGTTTGCTCAGGAAAGCTGTAAAGGCCTGTTGTATCCCACTGATCTACTGTACCAGGTGTACTCAGTCCCCAAATTTCAGAGCATGTGCTGTGCATAAAATTAGAAAAAAAAAGGTAAACATGGGGCATGGTGTAGTGAAAAGCTGATGGAGGATTATACATGTAGACAAACATAAAAATAAGTTGCTTTAAAATAAGAAATGTCAAGATTCCAATCAAACAATAAGCTTTAGGGAAAAAAAAGAATATGCATTTGTTCAACTTACCATGGAAGCTTACTGCATAGTGGTTGATGTTCCACAATGCATGCCAGAAACAGACATTTTTCACAAAGCATGCTTCAAAATAAATGTTCAGTGATAAACAGGTAGGCACATATATTCCCTTCCCCAAATCTACAAAATATTGAACATAATCAAAGTAACAAAGGCATTAAAAGATAATGTGTATTGAAAATGGATATTAAACTTTGTTCAAAAGAAGGAACTTTAAAGCATTAGAATTTCTACTGTAATCACAATATGCAATATTAAAAATAAAATCAACTATGAAAGTGCACGACATATCTTTTAGTTTGGAAGTACACACAACTTTTTAAGTCTACATCTGGTACCATTTTTTGAGCATGTTATTGAATCTTAGACATCAAACTGTGCCCAAGGGGAGAGGACAGATTTGCCAATTGCCTTTGTTAGATTCTCTGGAACGATAGGGATCAGAGATTTGAGTCGTTTTTAAAAAGCATGCCAAAACAAAATTCCGTGATAGTTTATAGCTAGAACAATAGTAAGCTACTACAGTCACTGCAACAAAATGCTACTTAGAAATAGCATATTGTATACAGAAAACAAATGTTAAAAGTGGCCTTCCTGCCTTTCAAGCTGATACTCTTCTTGGTCTTTGGCCAAACGTCCCACTGCCTTCTTTCCAATTATCCCATTCAGATTGTAGTTGTTGAGTCTTGAAGACCAAATAGTTTTTATAGCTTTCATTCTTAAACTGTAATCATGACATTTTAACTAAAATATCTCTTGTTCTGTTTGCAGACTTAAACATCAAATTTTTACATCAGGCAGGCTAATCAGACCTAAAAAGGAGGAAATACTAGAGAAACTTGGGCCTGGCGGCATTTGTGAACAGAACATAGAGTTAACACTTCAAATCTAATATGTCTTCTTCAGACCTGAAATGTTGTTAAGTGTTTCCCTCTGCAGAGACTGCCACACCCAAGTTTCTCCAGCATTATTTCTTTTTAGATCTAATTTCCAGCATCTGCAGTATTTGACCTATCCTTGGCTAATCAGATTTCTGGCTTCACGAGCTCTCTCAACCGTATTCCTTGGAATACTATATCTCAAAACCTAGTCATATGCCCTCTCTTCAATCCAGATATTTAGATTTTCATTTTCTCATTCTGAGCCACAACCTACTGTCCTCATGCAACTTCATTTGAAGTAATGGAAGCTCCAAATTCCCAACCTATCGCCATTTTCATCAATTATTCCAGGGACTCTGCTGAACCTTTTGATGAATCATCACTACCGGAGGTCAAATCTTTTAACAGATTCATACCTATGTTACCATATGTTCACAACAGTCACGTAAATCGTTCCAATCACTCTTGATCATGTAACTATTTATCAATTAACTCAAGGATTCTCAAAGTAACCTCAATGGTTACTTTTCACTCAAACATATTTACTAGATTTTTACTCCTCCCAAGCATAGTTCTCATATTGCAATTTAATTTCCAGTTTACTCCATATTCTTTAACGAATGAAAATCATGCTCCACCTACCCAATTCTAACGCACTTTCAGAGTCTCATTCAAGCTGTGCCATTCCCCTTGTCAATTAACATTATCCTCCTCTAGCTTGTAAACAATTAGCAGTATTTCCCCACCTATGGGTTCATGCTCCATCTCTAATGGATGCGTCTCTTAACGTGTCCAACATACTGATTAATTTTTTTTAAAACGTGTTTTATTCTCCTTTGAAGCAAGATTTCAGAGGTTCAACAGCACTTACCAACAAGGTTTCTCTCCCAAAAAAATTCTTCTGTTCCCAGCCCAAAGTACATCCTGTTGACCAAGACTTCCACCAAAATATCTTGTCAAGATGTCCAATATAAAGGCTTGCTGGCCTATTCAATTACTTTTGCAGGCTTTAAAAAAATACATTTTCTGAAATTTGCAGAGCTACTAAATCCATGAGAGCAGCCTATAAAAACCAACGTTAAAAATTCCAATAATGCAATTTACCAAAACAATTTTGATGAGAATATAGGAGGCATGGTTAGTCAGTTTGTGGATGACATCAAAATTGGTGGTATACTGGACAGTGAAGAAGATTACCTAAGATTACAAAGAGATCTTCATTACCTGGGACAACAGGCGGAGGAATGGGAGATGAAGTTTAATTTGGTTAAACGGGAGGTATCGCATTTTGGTGAAACAATCAAGGGCAAGGTCCTGGGTAATGTTGTAGAACAGACAGGCCTGGGGGTTCAGGAACGTAATTATTTGAAATTTGCACAGGCAGACAGGGTGGTTAAGAAGGCATTTAGCATGCTTGCCTTCATTGCTCAGGCCTTTGGTGAGTGGGTGGGCAAGTGGAGCCGAGTCTCAAAAAGATCAGCCATGATCTTATTAAATGGCGGGGCAGGCTCGAGGGGCCAAGATGGCCTACTCCTGCTCCTGGTTCTTATGTTCTTAGCGTATAGGAATTGAGACGCCATGTTGAGGTTGTACAGGACGTTGGTGAAGCCGGATCTGGAGTGCAGTTCTGGTCACCCTATTTAGGTTTATTAAGTTGGCCAGGGTTCAGAAAAGATTTATGAGAATGTTGCCAGGAATGGAGGGTTGAGTTACAAAAATAGGCTGGGACTTTTCTTACTGGAGATTGAGGAGTGACCTTAGAGGTTTACAAAATCATGTGGGGCATAGATAAGGTTAATAGGATGTGTCTTTTCCCCAGGGTGGGGGAGTTCAAACCTTGGGGGGGGGAGCGCATATTTTTCAGATGAGAGAAAGAAGTTTTAAACAAAAGGACATGAGGAGCAACTTTATTCTTTAAAAACAAACAGTGGTTCATGCTTGGAATGAACTGTCAAAAGTGGTGGATGCGGATGCAGGTACAGTTACAATATTTAAAAAGCCATTTGGATAAGTAGAATATAAGAACTAGGAGCAGGAGTAGGCCGTCTGGCCCTTCGAGCCTGCTCCGCCATTCAATAAGATCATGGCTGATCCTTTCGTGGACTCAGATCCACTTACCTGCGTTCTCACCGTATCCCTTAATTCCTTTATTGTTCAAAAAAAAAATCTACTTTTTTTTTAAAAAAACATTTACTGAAGTAACGTCAACTACTTCACTGGGCAAGGAATTCCAGAGATTAACAACCCTCTGGGTGAAGAAATTCCTTCTCAGTTCAGTTCTAAATCTGCTCCCTCTAATCTTGAGGCTATGCCCTCTTGTCCTAGCTTCACCTGCTAGTGGAAACATCCTCTCTACTTCTATCTTATATAAAATTATGAAGGAAATAGATGTTTCTATAAGATCCCCCCTCAATCTTCTGAATTCCAGTGAATATCATCCCAATCTACTCAGTCTCTCCTCATAAGCCAACGCCCTCAACTCCGGAATCAACCTAGTGAACCTCCTTTGCACCCTCTCCAGTGCCAATACATCCTTTCTCAAGTAAGGCGACCAAAACTGCACACAGTACTCCAGGTATGGCCTCACCAGCACCTTGTACAGCTGCAACATAACCTCTCTGCTTTTTATTTCAATCCCTTTAGCAATGAAGGACAAAATTCCATTTGCCTTCCTAATTACTTGTTGTACCTGCAGACCTACCTTCTGTGATTCATGCACAAGGACACCCAGGTCCCTCTGCATAGCAGCATGCTGCAACTTTTTACCATTCAAGTAATCATCCTTTTTACTATTACTCCTACCAAAATGTATGACTTCACATTTACTTACATTGTATTCCATCTGCCAGACCTTTGCCCACTCACTCAATGTATCTATGTTCCTCTGCAAAGTTTCACAGTCCTCTGCACACTTTGCTTTGCCACTCATCTTAGTGTCATCTGCAAACTTTGACACCCTACACGTGGTCCCCAACTCCAAGTCATCTATATAAATTGTAAATAATTGTGATCCCAACACCGATCCCTGAGGCACACCACTAGTCACTGACTGCCAGCTAGAATAGCGCTCATTTATCCCCACTCTTTGCTTCCTGTTAGTCAGCCAATCCTCTATCCATGCTAATACTTTACCCTTAATGCCATGCATCCTTATCTTATGCAGTAGCCTCATGTGCGGCACCTTGTCGAAGGCCTTTTGGAAATCTAGGTACACCACATCCACTGGGTCCCCATTGTCCACCTCGCTCGTAATGTCTTAGAATTCCAAAAGATTTGTCAAGCATGACCTGCCCTTCATGAACCCATGCTGCGTCTGCCCAACGGAACAATTTCTATCAAGATGCCTTGCTATTTCTTCCTTGATAATAGACTCAAGCATCTTCCCCACTACAGAGGTTAAGCTAACTGGTCTATAATTCCCCATCTTTTGTCTACTTCCCTTTTTAAACAGTGGCGTCACATTTGCTGTTTTCCAATCTGCTGGGACTGCCCCAGAGTCCAGCGAATTTTGGAAAATTACCACCAGTGCACCTGCTATTTCTCCCGCCATCTCTTTTAGTACCCTGGGATGCATTCCATCAGGGCCAGGAGACTTATGAATCCTTAGCTCCATTAGCTTGCCCAACACTATCTCTTCCGAATTATGATTGTTTCCAGGTCCTCACCTACCTTCGTCTCTTTGTCAATTACTGGCATGTTATTAGTGTCCTCCACTGTGAAGACCGATACAAAATACCTGTTCAATGCCTCGGCCATTTCATCATATCCCATAACTAAATTCCCCTTCTCATCCTCTAAAGGGCCAACGTTTACTTTAGCCACTCTTTTTTGTTTTATATATTTATAGAAACTTTTCCTATCTGTCTTTATATTCTGTGCTAGTTTTTTCTCATGTTCTATCTTACTTTTCTTTATAGCTCTTTTTGTGGCTT